TAAGTTAACTAAAGATTCTAACCTTTTTCCTTTTTTTCCCCCTGCAGGTGGCAATTGAGACTGTTTATGTTTCTGTTCAATCTTTAATTTATTGTGTCATTATTTATAGTATGATTGGATTTGAATGGAAAGTGGGGAAGTTCTTGCTGTTCTGCTACTTGGTTTTTATGTGTTTTACTTACTTCACACTGTATGGGATGATGGTTGTAGCCTTGACTCCAGGCCACCACATTGCAGCCGTTGTCATGTCCTTCTTTCTTGGCTTTTGGAATTTGTTCACTGGTTTTCTTATTCCTCGACCGGTACGCAACGTCCAATTTCGAAATCTCGAACTCGGATAGTTTTGAACTTGTGAGACTCATGGTTAAATCAACACTTTTGTAGGCAATCCCCATATGGTGGAGGTGGTATTACTGGGCTAATCCTGTGGCTTGGACAATTTATGGCATTGTAGCTTCTCAAGTTGGTGACAAAGATATTCCTGTTCAGATACCCGGATTTGGAAATGTAGGACTAAAGATGTTCCTTAAGCAAGGTTTTGGGTACGACCACGACTTCATCCCCGTCGTGGTCGTAGCACACGTCGTCTGGGTTCTCGTCTTCTTCTTCGTGTTTGCCTATGGAATCAAATTCTTCAACTTCCAGAAGAGATAGCCAATCCTGTCAGTGTCCTCTGCACTCTCATGTCAAATTTCTTACTTCATTACTTTCATACTATACCTTTTTGTACCACAGAAATCAATTACTTTAGAGCAATAAATGAGGAAACCAAATGGTAGTACCCTCTTTGCTTGCTCATCTTTGTGCCCATCATAGTGACCAAATGAGAGTTTGTCTGCCCCTCGCTTTGGGGACGTCGGATTTTCTCACTAAATCGAATTGCTTGACGAGACTCGAGAGGTAGATCATTTTGCTTTTCATTTAGGGAAAAATCTAGCGGCTGCCAGTTGGGGCGGACAAAAACATTGACCCACAAACCTGTCTAGAGAGTGGGACGATATAAGCACAAACTTTAAAGATTAAACTTATGCAGGGAATGTCCAATATGAATTTGTTTAAGATGTTGACGTGAAGAAGAAAAAGATAATAGATTGATCAAACGAAACTCGTGTTGTAATGATAAACTCATGTCTGCGAGTTCCATCTAACTCATGTGTGATATCCAACTGGCTCATGGTTGTAGCATATGAATCCATATATTCCACCACATATGTAATTTGAATACATGGAACAAAATTTGGTGTGTTCCATGAACATGATTTAACTAGCTCTTTGAAATAGTTCAAAACCAAAAATTTGTTTATTATTATTATTTTTTTAAAATCCTCTTTGACTAGAAAATAAAAAATAAAAATCCTAACAAGGGATAATTTTATACCAGCTGCCTCAGCCGTACGCAATTCACCACATCGTCTCGTGGTCAATCCGATGTCGCATTCCGATCAAAATCCGGCGAAAACCAGAGTAGTCTGTTGCATTGGCGACGTCCATGGATACATCACCAAGCTTCGAAATTTATGGTTGAATCTCGAGTCCTCCATTGAGCCATCGGATTTCAATTCCGCCCTCATAATCTTCTTAGGCGATTATTGCGACAGGGGATCGAATAGCCGAGAAGTAATTGATTTCTTGATCAATTTACCCTCCAGATATCCAAGCCAGAAGCATGTTTTCCTCGCCGGAAATCACGATTTCGCGTTCGCCGCTTTCCTCGGAATTTTGCCTCCTCCGGCCGATGGGTCGGCTTTTAAGGATACGTGGACGCAGTTCGAGGAGAACGAAAAGCGAGAAGGGTGGTTCAGAGGTAAGGGGTACGAGAATATGCATTTGCAAGGGAGAAGATGGGGTGGGAAAATTACGGTGAAAACCAATTTGGCGAAGGGGACTGAATATCAGGGTTCCATTTATGATGCTGGACCGACATTTGAGTCCTATGGTGTTCCTCATGGCTCTGCTGGTATTCTTCTCTTCTTCCTTTTCCTTTTACTTATTGGTGGAATGTTACCTTGAATTCATTGCATTTTGAATTTTCCTTTTCATTCTTGATGAACAAAGCTTTGGATAGTGAGGATTAGCTCTGGGTCTTAAACATTTTTAAACCCATACCTCTCTGGAATAGATATCATTTTATCCCCCATGGACCCTTCCTTGAACAGGTTTTTGAGGTTTTGATCTATGCACAACAATGGATGCCCTGTTTTTTTTGGTAGGAACTGATAAGAAGTAAATTTAAATTGTGAAGAATAGGTAAGTTGCATTAAGATTGATATAATACACGTATGGAATAGGTTTCCACCCCCTCTTATAAAGAATGTTTCGTTCTCCTCTCCAATTAATGTGAGATTTCACAATCCACCCCTTTTTGGGCCCAACGTTCTAGCTGGCACACCGCTCAGTGTTTAGCTCTGATACCATTTGTAACAGTCCAAGCTCACCGCTAGCAAATATTGTCTGTTTTGATCCGTTACGTATCGCCGTTAGCCTCAGTTTTAAAATGTGTTTGCTAGGGAGAGGTTTTCACACCCTTATAACGAATGTTTCGTTCCCCTCTCCAACTGATGTGGGATCTCACAATCAACTCCTCTTGGGAGCCTGCATCCTCACTGGCACACCGTCCAGTGTCTAGCTCTAATATCATTTGTAACACTTTAGCCCGTTACGTATTACCGTCGGTCTCACAGTTTTAAAATGCGTCTACTAAAAAGAGGTTTTCACACTCTTCATTCCTCTCTCTAACCAATGTTGAACCTCACAAGGGCAATGAAGGAAGCGGTGGGCACTTTGACTAGCTACCATCTTCTGCACATACTAACTTCCTGATAGAACTCCCATGCATAACAAAGACAACTTATGAGAGTTTAATTGCAGAGATTCTTGCAGGTTTCTGGTTATAATTTATAACTAAATACAGTAGATGCTAACTTTTTGGTTTGTTCTTGTTTCATAAGTTGAGTATCCAACTAAACAATGTAACCATTCTTTCTCAGATTTGGTGGAGGCAGTGCCTGATGAACACAAGAAGTTCCTTTCCAATATGGCTTGGGTACATGAAGAGGCAAGTCTCCCACTCTCAAGTAAACCACATTCAAAACATATAACCAAAATGAATCTGATGATCTTTGTAACTGATTCCAGGATGATATCTGTTTGGAGACAGAGGAAGGCATCAAACACTATAAATTGATAGCCGTCCACGCCGGTTTAGAGCGAGGGAAAGATGTTGAAGAACAACTGAATTCCTTGAAAGCCAAAGACACCAAAGCACCCAAGATAGAGTGCCTTAGTGGGAGGAAAAACGTTTGGGATATCCCAAATGTGAGTACTCAAAGTCACACACACCTCAGTTCATGCTGTTCTTTCAATGAATTTAAATGGCTTTGCTCCTTAAAACTGGATTGTTTCTTGTTTCTTGCAGGCACTGTCTGAGAAGCCAACAATCGTTGTAAGTGGACACCATGGTAAGCTTCATATTGATGGCTTAAGACTCGTCATTGATGAAGGTGGTGGGCTAAAAGATAACCCCGTAGCTGCCATTGTGCTTCCGTCGATGAAAATTGTGCGTGATATTGATAACATGAAACATTGATCCTTCTTTCAGCTGATCATCGTTGGGCGGGCGGGCGAGCTTAATATTCATACCCATGAAACGATATTTGTTATTAAAACGAGCGGGCGGGTAAGAATGTAATTGTTTTTAGTTTCCTATTTACTTAGAAAAATCATGTTGGAAATTGAAAGGGTTATTTGGATTTATTATTATTGGCACAGCATATTCCTTCTTTGTTCTTGATTTCCTTTAAAGAAGATATGGACACTATAGTCCTCTTTCAATGTCTCTGTCTATGTTTTAGAAAAATCCTACTCAATAGCATTAATTTATTATGTATTTTTTTAAAGGTTTAATGGTATTATTTAAAATTTTGAAAATATAATAATATTTTCTAGACAAAATACAAAATTTAGCGATTATTTTTATTAATTTATTCTATTTGTAAATAAGCAAAATATGTTATGCCTTTTAAGTTTAGCCTTCCACAAATGACACCCACGTAGTCACGTGACCCACCACCTTTTTCCATGATTTGTTTTCTTTGACAACACATTAAACATTTTTTTTATTTCCCTCTTTTTATCATCATTTTTTTTTTCTCATAATAGCTTCTCGTTAAATTTTGTACGTATTTTACTTCAAAAAAGAAGTTTCACTGAGATTTTTCATATTTTTAGTCCATTTTGGTACTTTGGTTCATTTTCTCGTGACTTATTTAATTTTCGTATTTTTATTGGGTAAATAAAAAGTGTTTGAAAATTGAGTTTAAATTCCGTGTGAATATTTACTTAATATCTTCAATTATATTAATGTTGACATTGGGTTAGATTACATCGTAAGCAACGTAACAATTTGATCTGATTTTAAATAATTTAAAATTAATGTATTTTTTTATTCGCAATTAATATAGTTTGATAGATTATATTTATTTATTTTTTAAATGGTGAACATATGTTAATACTCCCAATTATCCTTATCAACATATTTAGAAACAAAAACATAATAATTACCAACTAAATGCATCATACTTCAATATAAATTATTATCAATTAATTAACATATTTTACATTATAGATTTGGTATAATATTAATTTATATATTATGCTATATATATCTACATATTTTAATTTCAACAATTAAATGGGGTTATAATCTGAAATAGACATTTATTATAATTGTCCTTTTTTATGTAATTATGGATTTTTAATATCAAATCTGATAAACTACTGAGAACAGTCTAAAATGGTACTTTCACCTTTTTAATTTTTAATTTTTTTTTTTTTTCAGAAATAGATTTAGAACTTGGCGTCGAATGTTGAAAGGCGCGCAAAATTATTAGTAAAAAAAGGAGTAGGATGCGGGACCCACGTACCACGACTGTCCACGTGTCATCTAACCTCCCTCCATCTTCCTTCTCTCGCGCGTCGTTCATTTCTCTTTCTTTCCTGAATAGTGTATACATACAGATTCACTTTTATTTTTCTCTCTTAACTGTCTTCACGCAGTTTCATCACCTTCATTCAATCTCTCGCTGCTTCCATTTTTCTCAACCTTTCTCTTTTTCTCGTCGGAAAATGGTTTATACGATCCCAGGGATTCGGTTCCCTGCAGTTCCGCCAATCTGCAAGTGCTCTGGCTCCACCGTTAATGGCGACAGGAGGACGCCGATGTCTCTCTTCCTGCGGAAGGACTCGTCTGCCAGTACTCATCTCACTTTTGCATTTTCATTCCTAATAATGTTTTTACTCTTTTATAAGATGTAGACTCCTGGAGCTCCACTTGATTTTCTTGTTTGATTAGTTTTTTCTGCTTATCTTTTCCTGAAAATGTCGTTTCTATGCGTTGAAAGGTTGATTTGGATCACTGGCGTTGTATGTAAGTGTATGTTATGTGATAAGAGTTTCCCGGCTGGTTATCACTACGGGGTGTATTGTGAGTTCTTGTTTGTTTAGAGGACTTGTAAACGGATTAGTTGTTAATGAACTTCAGTTCGTGCTTGTGAAATTAATTAATCTGTTTCCGGAGATTTGTTCTTCTGTCCATGGAATTGAAGCGATCCTTGTTTGCAGGGAAGATTGTTGTAAGCAAGTCTACTCATGATTCTGGTTCCGTATTGTCGACTGCAAATGCTGCTTCTGACAAGGTCCTGGTTCCTGGGACTGGAAGCAATAGATCTTCGACTTTGGCCGGGCTGTCTGAAACTTCTGACCCTGCCTCCGAGGACACTCAGGTTAATGATATTATGTTATTGATTTTACTGAGGTTGTTACAGCTTTTATTGCGATTTAAGCTGAAATTTAGATTTTAAACCATTTATTCGATATTGGAGGGCCAAATTTCTGTTAAGAAACCAATATCATGAATGACTTTGTTCACACTAATGGTAATGATTCGAAAAATATTCATATTATGTGATATGGAAGAATACTTATCCTAGGAAAATTAAAATTTTCTTATGGGAACTTAGTCACGGTGGACTTTGATAATAGAGCTGATTGCTTATAAAGGAGAGTGACTCATTTCGCCCTCTCTCCATATTGGTGTGTCATGTGCTTTTCTTCCTCAAAGCATCCTTGCTATCTTTTTGCTCATTGCACCCTTCTCAGTATTGGAAAACAGTGCTTGATGCTTTTGGTTGGTCTGTGGTTTTGCCAAATGACATGTCGGCTAATCTATCTTCAGTTGTTATGGATCATCCTAACCATGGGGCACATACACATCCTTTTAGAGATTATGGATTTTTTTTTAATTTATTTTTTATAATTTCTAGTGGGAGATCTTTGTTGTAGTTCACCTCTTGGTGTTGGGAGCCCATTAAGCTTCTGTTATTTCATTCACCAATGAAATCGGTTTCTCTTCTCAAAATAAATAAATAAAAATTGCTGCTAAGAAACCACAGCCTTATAGTCAGTCATAGGTGCATTGTCGATGGACTTGCATGGCAATGTGATGATATAAAAGAAGTTTACATGGTATATGGAGTTATGAAAGGTGTGAAATAAGCAGGAAGGTTAGTTTTTGTTCTGGGTGATATAAATTATTTTTCATGTCAATAATAGAAATTCAATTACGCGGTTGAAGACAAAACCTGTCACTGGATGGCCTTCTGTTCTAAATAAAAATTGAGACTGCATACAAGTGTCCTTCGTCGGTAAAAAAATAATTATGCGGAGTTGCAGTTTGCAAATGCCGATATTCAAAGAAAATAAGTTTTGGTTTGGACTGTTGTCAAGGAGGGCTTAGCACTTGCGACAAAGTTCAAGAGAGACATCGTTACCTACTACCAAACGTGTATATTTTTTCAATTCTTGCTGTGACTGCTGTCTGCTTGCTTTTGAAATGCCTTTTCTCTCAATTATTTGAAGGGAGCCCTTTTGATTTCATTGACTTGGCTTTCCCTGGACCAGTCCTCGGAACCTTGCATCTTTCATTTGTGGTTTCACCAATCTCAACAAGAAATCTTTGGGCATTTGTTCTTATTAATTTAATAACCAAAAATGGATCTAATTGCATTTGACGCTCTAAATGTTACACGGTTAAAGCTATTCTTAGTTTTATTTTATTTTACATTTTGTAGAGGATGGACGGATCTTTCAAGACGAGTTTAGGATTTTAGGTCTGTGGTCTGATTTGTTTCTCTTTGGAGCTCTTCTTCCAAAGCTTTTTCTTATTATTTTGCTTCCAATTGGAGAGCTGTTTTTATATCATTGAAGTTTTTGTATATGTCATTCACATAAATAAATACTTATACATAATAAAAAAAACTACAATTGAATTCTAATTCTCAAAGATCATGCCATTAATTATGTTGGTAACCTCTTTGAGTTGTATGAAATGGTTCTAACTATATGTGAGATGTTTTAAATCTCCAGGGGTGTACAAAGAATCCCCAAACCTATTTTAGAATCAAGTCTACAAATCAGCCATCTAGCTATCCTTGCTCTGATTTAGTACTGTTTGTAAAAAATTTCTATTATCTAGGCCCGTTCAATTACGTTTTTCATTCTAAGGATTTTCATTCAGGATAGCTTTTGTCTGTTAGTCGTACTGACTTGATGTCTTTATTTTGTCTTTATACTCATGTTTACTTTCGTTGCCACATCTATTCTCTTCTCAATAAATTAATTTCATTGTTTTGTAATATGGTTTCAGGTGCTTCATGATGTAGATAATCAGACTATGGAAGCTGATGAGAAGCTTATTGAAGAAACAGATCAAGATCATCAATCATTGCCAGTAGATAATGTTGATGGTGATCAAGCACCGCTGGAGGAGATATCAATTCCTTCAAAAAGTAACAACGCTGATTTCACTGTGAGGTCCATTCCTCCACCTGGCGGTGGACAGAGAATCTACGAAATAGATCCATATTTGTTGAATCACAGAGAACATCTTGATTACCGGTAAGTTTGTTAGTCATCCTTGATAGGTATCACTTCCATTAGACCTAGAATAAGTACAGCACGCAATAAGGCATCATCCTGAACAAAGCAAGGGGATTCCAAAATTACATCCACCCGATATTGATAAAAAGAATTATATTTACAGAAAGGATCTTGAAAAGGAATTTGGAAGATTTTGGACTATATAATACCAAAGCTCATTCACTTTCTTTAGAAGTATCCTTGAAAAATATAGTTTCTTGGTAAGTTTTCTAAATAGTCCCCTTCATTGCATTTTCTGAGACGACTTTGCATTTCATAGGAAAGGATGATCTCTCAGGATTTTTTTCAGGGTTGGAGAAAGCATTCAAAGGGAAAGACCAAAATTCATTCTTGAATTAGGGACATGACAATGCATTCATAAATGGTTTTGATACTCCCCTCCCTCTTACAAAGGTAGCACGTGTTAGGAGAGAAGCAACATCAACATGTAATACCATCTGTCCTTTATTAGGGTGTCAACCAACATACTGACGAAGAAAAGTCAAAATACCAACAAACCACGAACTAACAAGCAGGCTTAATTAACAACTAAAATCAGTTAAAAATTAATCCAGCCAATTATTTAGATTATTCCTAATCCTATTACATCACTTTATTCTCCTACACCATACTATCATTTCCATATTAATAATGAGTTACATTTCCTAAGAAAAGGTGAGTTACATGAATTTGTTGCCTTTCCATTTTCTTGATCTTCAGTTCTTCATTCCTCTAGTATTTATCAATTAAATATCGTAGGTAATCTTGCTTTTGGAATTAATAGAGATCTCCCAATCCAAGCTGAAAATATGGAATAAATGATGCCAACATGCCAGGGAGAAGGAGCACTCGATGAGTATGTGATTTTGCTCCTCACAATTTGCCCAACAAAGAAAACGTACTGAAGGCAGCAAGGAAGGGAAAGGGATTTTCCTTCTAAGAAATTTTTCTTTGTTTGAAACATATTAGCGTGCATGTCACTTCTACTAGACATCATTTGGTATTCAAATGGATCCGACCAACTTTTCATTTATGACCTGAGATTTCAAGGACTAAAATGGGCCATTACTGAAACATCGGTGCAAAAATGTAAGATGCTGCAACCTAGGGATCAAAAGTAATGAGCCCAAACCTTGAGGACTAAAAAAGTAGCTAACTCTTTCTTAAAATACTCCAGACTAGCAATATATTGTGCAAATGTACATAACATAATGCAGAGAAAGCATGGCAACAAAACACATGGAGGCTGTTTTAAAAAATTAGGAACTAAAACACATATTGCTAGTTAACATAATTAGAAATAGTGGGCGGTCTCAAGTAGTGTAGTTTTTAGCTACTTTGCCTCTCCGGTAAATGGAGTAGCCCATTATTTGGGCCCATTATTCAAATCCTATTCATTAGGCTCATTTATGTAAATATTTTCTGGGTGTTCTTTCCTTTCCTTCTCTACTGTTATTTTTATCCTTACATATAGTATTATAATTAGGGCTTTACCCATGTCATTTGGTAACATGAAAAAATGCTATATTCAGACCATTAGAATTTTCCTAGTGCGCAGGCTGAATTTAGTGCTATGATACATGACAAAGGATGTCATAAAATAAAATATTAATAGAATTAAGGTCATAGAAGGATGTGAAAATGTTTTATGATAATCAAGTAGCGATTGGGCGTTCTTGTTTTGTAAGATCAACTTTGACTTCATGATAGAAGAGGATTGAGCATGGAATAATCACTTTAGTTTATGAACCATCAATACCGTGAACTACAGATCTCCACAACAGGACCCTTCCTAGAGTCCATTTTGAAGATTTAATGTCAAAGGTTTGTGTAATATATTTGGTTTTGTAGTAGGTATTCTCCCCTCCTTATTTGCATAACCACATTCCTTCTCTTTTTTTTCCCTTAAATTGGCCATTCGTCTAGTAAGTTGGCACAGCTTGTAAGATATATTTTAAGGTGTTTTTTCGTAGCATACTGAATAAAGTTTAACCATTTCTATACGTTTTTAGATATGGACAGTACAGAAGGATGAGGGAGGCTATTGACCAAAATGAAGGTGGTTTAGAGGCATTCTCTCGTGGATATGAAAAGCTCGGTTTCACACGCAGGTAACTTTCTTGGTTTCTATGTGCGGCCTGCGTGTCTCTCTCTCTCTCTCTCTCTCTCTCTCTCTCTCTCATGCACACGCACAAACTCACTCACTCACTCACACACACACAAGTGTGAACTCTGATTCTGACCTCCTTATGATTGGCTTTATATGTAACAAAATTTGAACCTTTCATATAATAATTTTTCTATCTATTCTTTTACTGCTGTTGTATGGAGAATATATTTGTATGCAGAAAATAAAGTATGGCAAGAGGCATGTATATATTTCAGCAATCTCAGGAAAATAAGGAGACAAGTATGCAGAAATATGGAAATAATTGATGAACAATAAATAACGGAAAAAATATGTGGTCTTACCATCTCCTACTTTCAGTATTTGGTGCTTTCAATCGGCAGTTGCCTGTGAGTCAATATGTGTATATTTACTGAGGAAGGAGTAGGTTTTTTGCAATCCGAAGTGACAAAGGTGATTTTGGAAGTAATTGTTATAGTATTGTGAAGTGGTGTTTTTTTTTATCTCAAATAAAAAGTTTCCGTAAGTGACAGGTTATTTTGGAAGTAATTGTTATTGTGAAGTGGTGCTTTTTTTTTTTTTTTTTTAATCTCAAATAAAAAGTTTCCATAAGCCTACTTATTCCGGAAACCTAGGGTCATGTGAAGGCCAGTAGTTAAGACAATTTTCAATTTTGGTGAAACTTCTTTTGTGGCTCGATTATTTCATCACAGATACTCTTGATTAATATCATTTTTCTATCATTACGTCCATAACCTAATTTACGTTAATATATCTTGAATAATTTCATTCAGTACCCTGTGATAGAGTTTACTTCAGATTTAAAAAGGTTCATAGAAGTGCAAGCCTAAGGGAAAATTCAGTACACCTTTCTCTCCCATTTGTTAGTTTTTCACCTGAGTACTTCTCACCCTAACATCAGCTATCCTTAATGGCCACTAGGTGTGCACGCCTTTCCCACCTACTAGTTAGCTACAAATAAGGCCCCCCACTTTCACTTCTTTCCCACTAGTGCACCCTCTCTTTCTGTTATGTATGTTAATAATAGCAGGTCCAATCGCCTTTTTCCTATACACCGTTATTTAAACTATGCATGATAAATTTCTTGTATGGCAACTAAATTTGTTCTCAATTGGTTTTTTCAGTGCCACGGGTATCACGTACAGGGAATGGGCACCAGGAGCCATGGTCAGTTTTCCCCTACTTTTTTCTTTATAAAAGAATTATTTTAATTATTACTATTATTTTTTATTGAGAAACATAGATTCCTTCATTTCATTGATGAGATAGAAATTATAAAATATGACAGTGTCAAAAGGAATTACAAAAAACACTTAGGACAATGAGAGAAGTGAGGTTGTATGATATAAAATGAGGGTGTAATTTACACCAAGAGATAGCAATGTAGGTAAGATGATCAAAAAATTCATTAAAGGTGGTGGCTTTATCCTCAAAGATATGACGCTCGCACTCTATCCATGTAAAACCAAAAGAAAGCTTCGATGAAGCAATTCCATTAAACTCCCTTTTCCTTGCCAAAAGGATGACTCATAAGGACCACTTCTAGAAATGTAGTCATATTTCCGGGAAGAGCTAGGTTCCAATTGAAAGTCATGAGGATAAACTCCCGAAAAGAAACTGCAAAGGGCAAGTTATGAAGAGATTGAGCAAGGTTTCATCGTTCTTTTGGAAAATGACTCCCCAATTCGGAGAAGTAGCATTCCAAGGAGCTTTTTATTGAAGTCACAGTGCAAATGCTTCCATGTCTAAGCTCCCAAATGAAAATTTAATTTTCCCTTACTTTAATGATGGGATTTTCGTCAAAATTGTAACAGGTGTACCGGAAGCTATTCCAGTAATAGGGTCGCCTTTGGTAGAGTTATTACGCGGAAGTGCTAGTGTGGGACAATCTACCTTGACTCGTTTTTATAGTTTACACACTTTTGTATTACCTCTTCTTACTGCCATATTTATGTTAATGCACTTCCCAATGATACGTAAGCAAGGCATTTCTGGTCCTTTACAGAGAATTGAAATCATAGATTTGCAATTAGATCTTTTTGAGCTGCTTGCTTTGGCATACACTATATAGGGACCGTAGCTCAACATTATGTTGGATTTCAAACCTTCTCAATGTTTCATATGTACGTATTTTCTGGCTTCCTGAGAAGATTGCTTCTACAGTTGTAAAACCTGTGAGGGATTTTTATTGGGATGGTTTCAAATTGGAAGGTGGTTGCCGTTGGTAGTTTGGAACAAATGCAACTCCTTATCCCTTCTCGAGGACCAGGTTTTTGCAACTTCCAATTCTTCTTCCATGAGCTTTGTCATGACGATTTCTGTCGAAATATTGATATAATTAAATTTATTATGACCCATCAACTTAAGTTTTTTGATTCATTGGTAATTTAATAGTTTCTTCTTCGAACCATTTCATCAAAATTAGTCTAGAAACATCTTGTTGCGCAGTTGACCAGGTCTGAGAAGCTCATAAGCATGAATAAATTTCCACCTGTTTTTTTTTTTCTTCTCTTCACTATCAACAGCCAAGTCACTTTTTGAAAAAGAGAGGAAAAGAACTCAGATTGATTTAGGAGATCAACTTTCTTAATCAACTACACATTCGTTTTTGGCTCTTTCTGAAGTTCTGAGAATCTCCTTGAACAAATGTTGACGGCATCTTTTTATTGTGCACTTAAAAAACATAGTCACAATCTCTTTACTTTGGTAGGAAAATAACTCCAATTACTTCCAAAGACAAGTCATCATTGAAATTTAACCGTGAGAAAATAACTTTAAGAAAATAGTCGTCAAAACATGCTTTTGCTCAATTTTTATTCTGTAAGCAGAAACCATTTCCCGTGACACCCAATCAGCTTTCAATTAATTTGAAAACAGTATGGCTTAATGGTGCTTTGGAGCAATTTTCTGGCCTTCTTCATTTGACTTTTTCTGCGCATATATGTTTTTGGTGAACTTCAAGGAAAATAATCTTTGTCTTGTTCGTTTAGTCAGCTGCGTTGATTGGAGACTTCAACAATTGGAATCCTACTGCAGATATTATGACCCGGGTATGGAATACTTGTTGTAGATACTTTTTGTGCATTTTTGTACTCTTTTTGGATTTAGTATGCCATTTACAGTTGTTTTTAAACTTTGCAGAATGAGTTTGGTGTCTGGGAAATTTTTTTGCCTAATAATGCGGACGGTTCCTCATCCATTCCTCATGGTTCTCGCGTGAAGGTACATATTCTGATGATGGTATATAAGTTATACAAGGAAAATAATCGTGATTTTAAGCCTCTAGAAGACATAGTGATAGAAATGTGAATTTTTGCCAAAAATAGAAGACATTCTGATGATGGTATAAATGTGAATTTTTTTTCTTGAAAAAAAATCAAGTTCATTGCTGCTATGAAATTGCAAAAGAATGGGGAGACTATAGTGATAGAAAAGAGGAGAGCATTTACACCAAATAATAAACAAAAGACTATAGCATCAGAATACCTGTAAAAACAAACTCCTTTTCTTTAAACATTCTTTGACTCCTTTCTTGCCAAGTAAGCCATATAAAAGCCCTCGTGCATCCAGAAAAGCTCATTTTCCATTTTATATGGGATTTCCCAGTAGAACATAAGAGTGAAGGTGTCAGGTGACATAAGTGAGAGCTGTCAACCATCCAGTGGAGGAAAAGAGAAAATTGCTTATGTACATGATATTAAAAGTTGGCTTTATGATTCAGAACTATTTTTGCAAATGGAAAACTAATGAGAATAGATGTTCATATAAGGCATCCTATGTTGGGGCTTTTCATGCGACCTCACTCTTGCTTAATTTCCCTGAGATTAAAATAGTTGAAAACAATTTGTTTAATTGTCTTTATTGGGCAATACAGAGCCAGAAATTACCAAATACTGGTGTTCAATAATATTTTCATCAATGAAGGGAATATGAGCCTGAAACAAATGAATCCCAAGGCTGAAACATTCATCTGAAGCATAGTTTTCCAATGTGCAACACGTGTTACATCCAATATTCCTACTTGAATGAAGAGTTGTTAAGCAATGGCTCTCTCTTTCCCTTTCTCTCTACTCCCTTGTCATCCATTTTCTTCTTGTGTTTAGTTTCTTCCTACTTACATTCACTCTTTTGCCTGGTGTTTCTTTCTAATGGAGTTTGTCGCTTGTATTGTCATTTTTAAATATGGCTAGTACTTTCTACCTTTAAAATCGTGCTAAACGAAAAATCATTGTTCAAAATTTATTTTTGTTTGAGTTGTTCAAAATTTCTTTGGCTGATAAATTCAGAAGCAATAGGTTCCTGACTAGTGATTGTGGCCTCTGCAAGTTTTCTCCTTGTCTCTAGGATATTGCTATGTTTCTTCACTTAGTTCTGTTTGTCGAGCTTTGTAGATTCTACCAAAAGTGATTTTTTTTTTCAAAGAAATGATATATTCTGATTCATACTACTGGTTGAGAATGTTTTCGTTGATGAGGGTGCACAGCTGAAGCATCTAAGTTGGACACTAGTGGTAAACAGTGCAATTAAATGATCCTTAAAAGGTTTTGAAACATTTGATTGGTAAAGCTTTCACGACCTCTTATGAATTCATATATTATATAGTTAAGTAGGAAATAGCTTGGTGGATAATTCGTTCTACTTTTAGGAGAATTCTCAATTAAATATCTTGACATTTTATGACTGTTGTATAGATATCAGGAAAAACTTCCTCTTTATGGTTGTGTTAATTTTAACAGAATGTTTTTTATTTTTATTTTTTGTGTGAGCGAAAAATTTATCCAAACATACAAAAAATGAGCCTGCACAAGAAGTCCTAACACTACTAGAATAGGCTCCAATTGATTAAAACGGGTCTCCAATCAAGAAAAATATGACTTAACGAGTAACAACAAGAAAGTTTCATCACGGAAATATGAAATCTACAAAAGACCAAATAGCCCTAAGAGAATGCTCAAGTTCTCTAAAAATTCTGTTATTATTCTCTGCAAAGGCTCCACAAAATCACACATACTCTGGCTTGCCACAAAACGCTTCCTTTCTCGCGAAGTGGGTGGAGAAGGAATTCTTCGATCATCTTTTTTCAACCCCTACATCTAGATAAGTTAAGACTTAGAATATGATCACGATCCTCCGTCACCCTTCGACATAGAATATTACACAGAGGCCCAATCAAATTAGCCTTTTCTGATGAAAGGCACAAATGAATTGTTTTATTGTGTAATGTTGTTAACAACTTTGTTCTTATTGCTTCATGACTTGATCTTTGTCACTTATAGATTCGAATGGATACTCCTTCTGGCATCAAAGACTCAATTCCTGCTTGGATCAAGTTTTCTGTACAGCCTCCGGGTGAAATACCTTACAATGGTATATATTATGATCCACCAGAAGAGGTATGGTTTATAAATTGACCTCATGTCTTACAATCGTTCAGCCAGTGTGGGAAAATTTCCCTCATGTCTTACAATTGTTCAGGCAGTATGGAAAACCTTTTGGAACTGCATTTCAGCAGATACTGATAAATATTGGGAAAAATATACAACTGACATTAGATTATTCGTTGTAAATCGATTGAGCGTTGCAAAATCAATAGCTAATAATATATTTCGTAGTTTAGTGATATTGCCTATCAAAGAGGAAATAAAATTCCTATCTTTAATTTTTCACTTGTTTAGTGAAATCAGGGGTGAGGAAATCCTTAACTGTTGCAATTTATGACTTTCTACATCTAAGCTGCAAACTGTTTGTACTAAACTGTATTTTCTGTTGTAGGAAAAGTATGTATTTCAACATCCTCGGCCAAAAAAGCCAAAATCACTTAGAATTTATGAGAGCCATGTTGGTATGAGTAGTACGGTAAGCAACTTCTGTTCCCTGTGATAGATACTGTGTTCTGTCTACATGTTTATTCTCTTTTTCTTTGTGTTCTTTTCCATGCCAAAATTACTTCCTGTTCAAAATTGTGCTTGGGAGGAAACCAACTCTGAAACCAACCAAAAAACTAACTTGATCACCGCTTCCCTTATCAAACTCTGACTTTGGTCTTCCCTGCCTTAAAGTGCAGACTGATGAGCTTAAATTCCTAGAAGAATATTTTCATTGTCATTTGCCCTGCTGTGCCCGAATTCACAAGCCAAACTACCAATTTACTGCATTGAACCTTTTTATTTCCAGCCATCCTTTGTGTGCCCCTCATTATCTTTCAGATAATTGGAATTTGCATGATTATACTGAGACAATATCACTTGTATCTCCACTTGTATCGCCACCTTTCTAAAAAAGGTTTTGCATGTTTCTTTTTTCAATTTTTAGAAGGCGCGAGAAAATTTGATGTAAGATAGATAGGAACACTGTAAAGCAGATAACCCTAAAAATTACTTGGAAAAGTTTAAAGAAGGAAAGAAGTGTATGGAGATAGGAGTGAGAAAGATGGAGCTATCTAAGGATTGCTTCATGATTAATTTTCCAGAGAATAGAAAAATATGGATATTGAAATGTTCATTTACAACAACCTTGGACCTTAAGTTTTGCCACTGTACAACATTCTTCATTCAGGTCTTGATATACTCAACAATGAAATGTAGGAACCTATTATAAATACGTATGCAAACTTTCGAGATGATGTCCTTCCTCGCATTAAGAAACTTGGATACAATGCTGTTCAGATCATGGCTATACAAGAGCATTCTTACTATGCTAGTTTTGGGTAAGTTCATGTTTATTATATGCTGATTTTTCTAAATTATGGGGGTTTTACGTATAATTTTGTCAATAATGATATGCAGCCTTCTCAGAACTACTGGCATCAGTTTGTGTGGTAGCTCCCTGAGTTCTTGTTAACTTGAGTATTTTAATATAGGTACCATGTCACCAACTTTTTTGCTCCAAGCAGTCGCTGTGGAACCCCTGAAGAACTGAAATCTTTGATAGATAAAGCTCATGAGCTCGGCCTGCTTGTTCTCATGGATATTGTTCATAGGTAAACAAAGAAAAAGAGATCAAGATTAGGAAAGAACTAGAAACTCTATTTAATTTTCTGTACATAGTGGGAGCATTGTTTTTCAATTTTTATTTTGTTCTAAATCCTTCAGTATTCGTTACCTAGCTTTTTCAGGATTAAAGAATTGTCTTTTTATATCCCTTGGCATGTATGGAGGCGAGTGGTAATTCTTGCTACTTTTCTTCATAAATGATGACAATGACATGCAAAATAACTGGGGAAAATCAATTTCATCAGTGATAGCTCCCGCAGGTTTATGCGGTATAATCCAATCGATTTATCTGTGTTATACAATGGGACTTTTCTTTTAATAGGAAGGATGCATTTCTTGGTAGAATAGAATGTTTTACAAAAGATCCTGGAGTTTCAAAAGAAATTATATAAATAAAATAAAATTCTCTCCATTGGGCTTTGGGGTATTTGGTTAGAAAGGAATAATGAAATTTTTAGAGAGATGGAAATATCAGGTAAATAGGTTTGGGAGGTGGCCAAGTTTAATGCCTCCCTTTTGGCTTTCGTCACTTGGTCTTTTGGAAATTATGACCTTGGCCTTATTTTGTTTTAGTCCTTTTCTATAATTAATTTTGGTCACCTTTCCTTTAAGCTCTTTATTGTATTTGTATTTGTATTATTATTATTTTTTAATGAATGCATGGATTCTTACAAGTATAGTTTTTGAGATGCTGTTTAGTCTGACCATAAGTTTTTGAAATCTTTGGCTATATATTTAAATCCACTATCTGGTTCCTTGTTTTACGTGCCGATGTATAGTGTTCTTCCAAGTCCATTTTTTCTTTATTCATCTATTTTTCATTTAAAGAAAAAAAGCATGATGCTTTATTGATTTGTATCTGATACAAATACAGTCATGCGTCTAAGAATGTGTTGGATGGACTGAACTCGTTTGATGGTACTGATGGCCATTACTTTCATTCTGGATCACGAGGTTATCATTGGATGTGGGATTCTCGTCTTTTTAATTATGGAAGCTGGGAAGTAAGATTTTTTTTCTCATATTTTTTCTTTTGTAATTTATCTCATGCCTGGATATAACCTAAGGTTGCGTGATATGTCTTGTTCATTTAGGTACTAAGGTTTCTACTATCAAATGCAAGATGGTGGCTGGAAGAATACAAGTTTGACGGGTTCAGATTTGATGGTGTGACCTCAATGATGTACGCTCATCATGGCTTGGAGGTAATTTACCGACGAGGGTTGGGAACTTATATCACATGATGGGGCACGGTGCAAGGCTTTTGTTCCTTTAGAAATCTGGTTATAAAGGCTTATGAAAGACATTCTCTTGTCCAAAAAGAAGAAAAGAAAAGAATAAAGGGTCAAACAGTTCCCTGCCTATAGATCTGCAACTCTCTATCATTTTATTTTTTGATATGGCAAATCCTCGCACTCTAATTGGCTACCATTGTTCACTATGTCAGGATTTATAATATTACGTCATGCTTTGGCTTATGACGAGAACTTTCTTTTTTCTTTCTTTGTGGGTGTTTCAGACAGTGTTCACTGGAAACTACAATGAGTACTTTGGATTTGCTACAGATGTTGATGCTGTTGTGTATTTGATGCTGGTGAATGATATGATTCATGGGCTTTATCCTGAGGCTGTTTCAATTGGTGAAGATGTATGTTTTTTACCTTTATATACTGATATTCTTGTCTAAGATAGGTTAGGGATGATAACAATTCATATACATCTTTTACGAACTCAGTGTTTACATCAAATCATTTTGATAATAATAAGTTTGATCTGTTTTACCGAGAAGGTCTAGCTTAGGGATGATAACAATTCATATACATCTTTCAGGAACTCAGTGTTTACATTATCATATACATATATGGAATGTTTATATTCCACCTGATTTTGTAAGTCAGACGATCTAATGGTTCAATGCAACTATGTGCCTACTCGGTGGATATCTTTGCTAAACTATTACCGAGGCCTAATTTTGAAGAATTGGATAACAAGTTGGGATTGTATGACAATCCATCTGATAGGGGAGTGTTAAAAATTAATGTCAAAATTAAAGCATTCTTGTGCATAGAAAATTCAGAAATTATCATTTTGGTTAATTTGTTATATTTGAGATCAAAAGCTTACAAGTTCTGATAGAATAGGTTAAATTTTATTTTCTTGTTACTTCTTTCTCTTGTATTTGACTTGATACATTAATTTGATTTATAATTAGTTGTAAAGTATTATGGAATACTAGAAATCTTCGGAATACAAGCACGTTTAGCCATTAGAATGGATTCTAATTAAGAACCATTGACCAAGAGAGGGAGGGTGCGCCTATCCGTTGGTTGGGAAATCAGGTTAGTTAAAGTTAAAAGGAGAGCATACTATTTTAAACAGGGGTTGTAGGCATGAGGTAAGCAATTATCAGTGGGTAGTTTCGTGAGAGTAGACTTCCCATGCTCCGTTGGTGCCTTTTAATTGACATTAGCTTGAACCGAGGGAAAACTGCTGCCACAATTCATATCCATACTTTGTGAATATCTCGAATATTTATGTTATGTGGTAAAACTTTTCTGATTCTACATGCAAAGTTAAATTTGCCTTTTAGTGATTATCTTATTAAAAGATTGCCTTTTAGATTCTTGAACACTTGATTTGACCATGAGAGTGGGAAGATATTCCTGTCTTATCAGATGAAAATTTATTTTTGCAGGTCAGTGGAATGCCTGCCTTTTGCATTCCTATCCAAGACGGTGGAATTGGATTTGATTACCGTCTGCACATGGCCATTGCTGATAAATGGATCGAGCTTCTCAAGTATGTTGTTTTCTTCCTCAATACTTTATTTAGATTTGCTATAAACATATGTTAAAAAAAAAAAATCACCTTAATTACTAGTAAAATGCCAAAGTAATTCTTATAAAGTTTGTTACTTTTATTTTTAAAAAAACCATCTGTTATACTTCTCTATTTTATATCTTGGCTGAGAGCGAGTGCATGACATAACCCATATGATATTGGACAATTTTCCAGAACTAATGATGCTTTTAGAACCTATTTTCTGAAGTTTGAACAAATTTGGAAATGTGGTAACACAATTCCTCCATGTGAAATAATATTATTAAAATATTTCCCCTAAATGTACGTAAAAAAGCTATGATATGCTCTACTTTAACCAATTTTTTCTATGGTGTAGGAAAAGCGATGAAGATTGGAAAATGGGTGATATTGTTCACACGCTTGTTAACAGAAGGTGGTCAGAGAAGTGCGTTGCATATGCTGAAAGTCATGACCAAGCTCTCGTCGGTGATAAAACACTTGCATTCTGGTTGATGGACAAGGTTAATAAACATCGCCCTCAACTCCCATGCTGTGAACTTGTCAAATATTGATGCACATGCAAACATGAAATTAAAGGCTGTTGGTATAGTATCATTGGTTTTCTGTTTCATGTTCAAATCATTTTTCTATTTCATTATTTTCTCTTCATGTACATCCCCCTAGGGTTTAGATCATGTTGATTTGAGGTTCAATGATGGAAATCCTCTCATGAAAAGGAATATCTTAGTTCAGAAGTTAGAATCTTTGCATATTATTAAAGAGTCTAAGAAAGGACATTAGGTTATTTGATGGTGTTTAGGAGCACGTGATATACGTTTCTCATTCTCTCGTTAGTGTGCTTGAAAGCATATTTATCTTTAAATACTTATATTGAAAACATTCTCATACTTACTGCAAATTATTTTTATTCGTATATACATGCAATAAGCTAACAACTAGGTTGTGTATGATCCATACGGGAAAGTATCACAGATACCGCAGACTAGAATTTACTGTAGAGCTTGTAATTTTATCTTCCATTGGAATCCTGAGCAGTAAACTACACATATTTCATTATAATTGTTAAAGTTATAGACCTGGAAATGAATCCCCAAGGTAAATTAGCACATGCAATTTTGCGTTACAAGAATGTTGAAAGGCATGCTAGCATGCTAATTTCGTGTGTGCACGGTGTTCTGCATTTGCCATTTACTTTCAGCTGCTGAAAATTTACATGATCTTGTCCGCAATAAACTAAAAAATAGGAACTATTGGAAAGCTTGATTGTTATATTTCCTTCATTCTTTGCAATATTAGTTGTGTAGTATGTGTTTGTTTTTAATATTAATATTTGTAATTTGTTTCCTTACTGGGAGATGGTCTTTCTTCTAATATGTACCTTGTATTTGATTTAGTTTTTTTTTTTTTTTTTTCTTTCTAAACTTCAAGTTGATATGGGGAAATCTTTAAATCTCTGGAACATAATTTAATCCCCAATTAATATTAATTTCCACTTGTACAGTCTACAAATTTTCAAATCCACAAAGTATATTGATACAATTAAATTTACCTTAACCCATTGACTTATGTTTTTGGGTTTAGTGGTGATTTACATGGATAAATGTAGAAATACTTATATCCATGGTAAATTTGTGCAGAATGAAACTCCTCATCCAAGTTTATTAAGGAAGTATAATTATCGAAACCTTCATAAATTGTAGATCTTTACATGCATGTTCACTTTCGTCTATTGTTTCATCTCTTCACAACCGTTTATCCAATTTTAGAAGGGAACAGGTTAGTTTTTTTGAGATTACATAAATAGTTGTTAACTTATTAGCTTCCAATGACTGTGAAGCACATAAGATGAGGATTATTTTGGCTGCAATTCTCTTATATTCATGTTTTCCAGGACATGTATCACTCCATGGCTTTGGACAGTCCATCCACTCCTGCAATTGATCGTGGAGTACCACTGCATAAAATGATAAGGCTTATTACCATGGGATTGGGAGGAGAAGGATACCTAAATTTCATGGGGAATGAATTTGGACATCCTGGTAAGATACTCTTATGCTTAGTCTTTTATTTTATATCACCGGGATGATATTTCATATAAATCATTCAATGTCTGGCAGTATCTTGGTTTTATCAATGTGTTGCTCTATTGTTTGCTTTGGAAAATCATTTGTCTATCATCATCCTTTCAGAGTGGATTGATTTTCCAAGGGGCGATCAGCATCTTCCTGGTGGTGCACTAGTTCCTGGAAACAACTTCAGTTATGATAAATGTCGGCGTAGATTTGATTTGGTGAGTGACTGCGAACTCTTATTTTCTTCTGTAATTTTTGTTGATATTTTATTGAAGAGTGTGATTATCACGTGTCTGAAGGCTCAACCTTAGGTTCTAATGCCTCAGATTCCCAGCTGGTATTTGGTAGTGTACAACAATGTTAGAACTCAAATTATTCGGGCCCTGATGATAACCATTTTTTTTTTTTTTTTTTGAAAATTTGGCTTGTTTTCTTATCATTTCCTTTAGTTTTTATCTTCCAAGCAAGTAGAAATTAAAATTTGTAGCCAAATTCCAAAAACAAATACAAGTTTTTAGAAATTCCTTTTTTAGTTTTCAAAACTTTGCTTGGATTTTGAAAACATTCCTACAAAATTAGATAACAAAACAAAGAAACTAATAGTTGGAAGTAGTATTTTATAAGCTATTTTCAAAAACCAAAAACCAAATTATTATCAGTCAAATTGACTGATTTTTGTGTACCGGACTATAAACTCAAAATATTGTTTGACAAAAGTAAGGTCTAGCAAGTTTCTTGTTACAAATAAAGATGAAGGGAAAGGATTTTAACTGATTCAATCATATATATATAATTACTTCTGCAGTTACGATTGGAGGAAAGACTTAAATATTTTCAATTATTAGATAGCTTGTATTTCAGTTTTATTCTTCCCCATGTCATTTTGATAGAATAATTAAATAATGTATAATTGACTTGAGTAAGGCTTGACTCTTTTTTCCTTTTTCCTCTATCTAACATGAAGTAGTTTCCCAAAATTTTTTATGATGTATGTTTTGGTTGGATTTTCCTTTTGAAAGTTTATTATTATCAATGAAGGTGATATCCATTCTTGAACGAGTGACTTGTGTGAAAAATACTTTTTTTTTTTTTTTTTTTTTGAGTCATTTTGTTCCGAGGCAAAGGGATCCATACACATCTAATAAAACTTGGGAGAAATGCATCCTAGTCATGGTTACTAAATCTGTTACAGTTAAGATACACCATTTGATAGGATATATATGTATATTTCAAACATGTGTATACTGACATTAAGTTGAATATGTATACAGGGAGATGCAAAGAATTTAAGATATCGCGGTATGAAAGAATTTGATCGGGCAATGCAGCATCTTGAAGAATCATTTGGTGTAAGTTCCTTAGTTTTATACCGTCTATCTTTGACAATACCTTAAGACATTTTTCCAAGTCCTTGGATTATAAAATCAAATCCCATCCAAGGACTGCATGACCTGTCATCTTGTCAAAATGTTCATTCGTTCTTAAATGGTCACTCGGCCCTAGGTTATAACCAAGGCTTTTGGTTATGTGCGCCTACTTTTTCCAGACATTGTAGATGACGGCCTCTCATTTGTCTCACAAAAGTTCTCTATTGTCTCAACCTGTATCCTACTCATTTGCTATCCCGTTTTCTATAACAGCCCAATCCGCCCTCACTCCTAAAATGTTGGTTGGTTCTGTTCAAACGTGATTGTTCATTTATACTTGTTTTCTGAGCTGGTAAACATTTATTGTTTCTACATTTATGAGTGTGTTTTACAACTCTTGTACATTTTATGAATTGAAAATTGAAAACTCTGTACAAATTATATCGTTAATATTTTAATCCGGTGTCTTCTGCTATAGGGGATTGTACTGCGACGTTTGGATTGGCATGCATCTTTAATTGTTAAATTATGTTTTTATCCGACCTAATTATTTTTTAAAGAAAATACTTTACAAATTTGATGGCCGAGTCTTTACATATTCAATTTTTTTAAGTTTATTGGTTTTGAATATCATTCTCTTGTCTGCTTAAATTGTCTCAACAATATAATTTTTATCATAATTGCGAAGTTGGTCTTCCTCACTCTTGACTTTCATGTGCCTGGAAATCTGTAATAGCCAACCGTTCTTGGGTTCAGAATGTTTAAAATATGCTTAGTAAACATTAACTGGTGGTTGCAGTTCATGACATCTGGACACCAATATGTTTCCCGCAAAGATGAGGGAGATAAAATCATTGTGTTCGAAAGAGGGGATCTGGTTTTTGTTTTCAACTTCCATTGGAGTAACAGCTATTCCGACTACCGAGTGGGGTGCCTAAAGCCTGGGAAATACAAGGTACAGTATTGTGTAGTATTAAGCATCGGCTCTATGATCTCTGTAGGTTAGTCATACCTTTTAATCTATTCAAATTCTATAATAAGGTGGCATTGTCTGCACTGTTGTAGATTGTCTTGGACTCGGATGATCCACTGTTTGGAGGGTTCAATCGGCTTGATCATTCTGCCGAATACTTTACATTTGTAAGATAGGTCTCTTAAGATCTGTAATTAAATAGATTGAATGAATCCGTGAAAAATATTTGGATTGATATTTTTGGTTGTGCAGGATGGAAACTATGACAACAGGCCTCGTTCTTTCCTGGTATACACTCCTTCCAGGACGGCCGTGGTCTATGCTCTTGCACCAGATGATTCTGAGCTTGTAAAGAGTGAAACCGAAGACGAAAATGAAGCTGAAACTTCGTGAGTAGATGTTTTTGCTGTTTTTATTTAATTCATATTTATTTAATAGAGCTTGTATATAAACTCTTTCTGGGTCATGGTTAATCTATAAGGATAAATGCTATAGATTGGCCATGAAATAATGAATGCCTGTGAAAGTAGAGCACAGCGAGTTTTCCCAAGCTCTTAATAATGCTCTTTTCCTTGTAATATTATTATTATCACATTGATGGATTCGAGTCTTACAACTTCTTTCTTTCTTTCTTTCTTTCCTTCTTCTTTTTTTTTTTTTTTTAATTAGGTTGTGTTTGATTTGTTGGTAATTTAAAACCGCATCTAATTGGTTCTTTAGATCTGGTTTTGATTATCAGTTTGATTTTGATTTTTTTTATCGATTTGTTTTGCTATCCATTGTTGATGGTGAAGTTTTGAACCTATTAGAACAAACTTGCAAATGTGAGTTTATAAATTTTTGTTGAGAGGTAGAAAGAAGAGGCTATGAATTTCAAAGAGTGGGCATTTAAGCGCCACGTGATTCTTTAGCAAAGCAATTAATTATTGGTCTGACATAGCGTATTACACTAGAGATATCCTTCCATGTGGGTGTGTGGTCTCTGCCGGAAAAATTGCCACGGATAGACGTTGAAAGTTTTCATGAATTATTCACGCTTATCAAAAGTTAAATACATATGGACATTTAATTTTAATTTTAGATTCAGTTTTTTTATCTCCTAAAAGGTAATATATGTTTCTTGGTTACTTTAGTTAATACATAATATAATGTGCATTGAATTAATACCTTATGTTCGATTGAATCTAAGAGATTGAATACATTTTGGTAAGTTATGTTCTAGAAAAAGTTGATGAACAAGTTTAAATCAATAAATATAACAACCTTTTGTATGTGTGATAGAACGTGTTTGGTAGTAAATCATTGGTAAAACAATAAATATCACAAGAAAAACAAAATCAAACATAAACATCCTTCAACGAATCACATTCAAACAGCTACGAACTGTGGCTTCAAATAAAAGTTTGGTTCTTTTTTTCCAGACAATAACACATATTAGATAGATGCAACTTTATTTTTAAGTGCTGATAAAGTTAGCTTCCGAGTTGGTTGTTCTTTGCAACTGATGCAACACAGTAGTGGGCAACGAGTTCTTATTGGCGGAGCGCAGCGCCTCGGCGAGCGGTCCGCCCATCGACGCCATTTGTGTGGCGGCCCATCCAGCAGCCCAATTCAAATGCATGTGCTCCCCGTCGATATTGCCATTTTGATGAAGATGAGGGTCGCCACTGCCTTGATCAGAGCCTCCTCCTGTTGACAATTTCAATGACACGTCGGAGGATGACGACGGCGGGTTCCCAGCTACCGAAATTGAAAGGGATGTCGGATTCATTCGTTGGCTGGCATTGCTGTTGTCGCTCCCACAGTCACCATTTTCGGACCTCGGCCAATCGTCGAAAAAATGCCTCAAAATGTGGCCGTCGGATTTTCCGTCTCCGGCGGAGGCCTCTTTTTGGGATTCATAAAAATTCTTATTTTCCGGTAAGGAATCAGAGGAAGCACTGCAGAGAATAAAAAAAAATTAAAAAAAAATGGGAATAAATAAAGTTAGAGAAAAGGGACAATGAATTGAAGCGAAGCATTATTAGGCAGAAAGTTAGTGGTTGGGAAAATGGAGTGTACGGCTAAAGAATCATAAACAGACAAAAATTTTAAGTGGGACCCAAATAAAATCTGACCCTTGATTGAGATGGAGAAGATCAACGGATGGGGTTTGTCCACATACACAAGAATATTTCCCACTTTCCACCGTCGAAAAAGGCCGACCACCGCCGCCACCAACAACACGGTTAGCGTTAGAGCAGAGAGAACCACCGCCGCTGGATACAGCGGCGGCGGTGGTGGTCGTGGTGGTCGTGTAGGTGGGTTTAGTCGTGGTAGTTTCCACAGGCTTTCTTGAACGGTTACGGCCACGGTGCATATGGCGCTCACAGTACTTCTGCCCCGCGACCACATCTCTTGAGCAACGCCATTTTTTGCCGTCGGTTCTCCGGCACCGACCTGGCTCTGGATCCATGGCGGCTCTGCCCCAATACCCTGCTTGTAATACTGAATATCCAAAGTCATTTTAAACAAAACCCTCATTTCAGTGATAACCAAAAATTAAAAACCAAGAAAGAAATGGAGAACAGATCAATTGACTTTGATTAAGAACATATTTGAGCGTTACTTCAAAAGATTCATTCCAAAAACATGTTCTGAATTATTTCAAAATCTAATTCCAAACATGCCACAAGAGTCGAGCTTTTTCTAAAATGGATCGCTCTGTATTTGCAAGAACATTTAAAGAAAATGTATATAAAGGGTTATGAAGTAAAAATTTGAAGAGTTTTCTTACGAAAAAAATCTGATTCCACCCACAAAAAGAAAAGGGAAATGGGCGAAATGGGACTTACAAGAAGTGGGATAGTGGGGGAAATGTTGAAGAGGATGATGAAGAAAGAGGGGGGCAGTGGAGGAGAGAAGGCTTTTCTTGATGGGGTGGAGAAGCTCCGGCGGTACAGCGACGCCGGCCAACATATATCGGAAAATGAGAGCCTGAAGCTCGAGTTCGTGCCTTTGAGCCACACTGAAATAACCCAACGTCCCTGTAATCAAATCAAGGCAAAGACAACCAAATAACAGAGCAGTTAAATGGAGAAAGAAGAAAGGTTTTGAAGAGGAAAGGAAAGAAAAAGAAAAGGGCTCACTGGGTAATCTATGAGAAGAAGAAGAAGACGTTGAATCTGGAAATGCTGACAACATATTGGAAGCTTTGGAGTCGTTAATGGAACCAGGAACGAACAGAGGAAGAACAGAGGAGCAAGAAGACGGCTGTGGCTGCTGCTGCTGCAGCCGATGAGGCTGTTCGACAAAAAACTTACAGATTTTAGCAGAATGTTGCGGCTCTTCCACCTCCTCCTCCTTCTCTGACTCCGCCTGCCTTCTACACTTCTTCAGATCAAAGTCCATTGACAGAGAAATACCAAAAAAACAGAGCTTTTGACAGAGAAATATCTATGCTTCTGTTGGGTTTTTAATATTATGCTGCTGCCTTCATTTTCATTGGGTATTTTCAGGGGAGAAAAAAGCTTCTTTTCTTGGCAGTATTCAGGGAAAAAAAAAGGGTTGGGTATCTGACAATGTAACCTGCAAAGTTTGTTTGAAGAGCAGTGGAGGAGGAGGAGGGTTAGGCAGCTGGTAGGGGCACTTAGAGTAAAAGATGTTCAGACAAGACAGATGAGATAAAGGGGGCAGAAGAAGGGTTTACAACTCTCTAAGTAATAAATTAAATCTAACGTGCGTATACACCAGCTTTGACGATAAGTTTGAAAGAAAAAGCTCAAAGAGAACTATAGTTGTCTTACCTCATTTTCTAGTCATGGATACTTTTTTTCACAATTTTGTTTGATACTTGTAATACATTCAACCTATAATGTTAACTAGTTCATCCTTTCATAGTTGCTAAACTCGGTTAAAAAAAATATGTTACTTTGAGATGAACAAATCGAAGTCGATAAACTGAGCAGAAGTTGATGGATCGAAGTGTCTAAAAAGGACTTAAAACATCGAACCTAATGAATAGCTTATTATTATTTTATAAATATAAATTTTAAGAGATAAATGAAAAATGTACTAAAAAAGAAGTAAATGAAAAGGGAGAGAAAATAAAAGCTGGAGACTGACCAAACCACCGGCCTTTCGGTCAACACAACCGGACATAAAACACGTTTGTGTTCATTAATGAAGGAATCCATTGGAGGACACTTTGATGGAGTAAAGTTTTAAAAAATTAAAAAATATTATAATTATTAGCTTAGAGTGAAAATGGTTCCCATTTTATTTTAAAAAATACGATTAAGTTTCAAAAATTTTATTTTAAAATTTAAAAATACTCTTAGATTAAAATTTTTAAAAAATTCGTATGAAGTGTGAATAGATGATTTTTGTTCCTCTCTATTTCCCTAATTTTATCCACAGCTTTAACAAAAATAAAAATAAAAAAACAAACATATGAGCTTTGTTGTAAATTTGAAGAGAGTTGGGAGTTGGAGGGGATTTTGGGAAACTGTAAGGGCATATTTGTAAACGTGAAAAGTAGCAAAAGCAAAGGAAGGCACACCTTGGGATCCATTGCTGGGCCCCACCCTGCTCCTCCACGTCACCTAATTCGTCTCTATCCTGATTAATTCCAAAAATATTTAGGAAGTTTATTTATTAAAATCTTAATTTAATTAGAAAGGGAGAGACAGGGAGCATACGACAATCTCAGATTCTGTCAGAAAAGTGCTCCCAAAAATTCAAAAACAGCTCCTCACGTGCCTCCCCTCCCTTCCCCCTTTCCCTTTATTTTCTATTTCCTTTTTACATTTTTTGTGCCACAGAAACCAAACAAAATTATAAACAAAGGAGGTGCACGCCGGCACGCTCTGTATCACGTGCCCCTCCACCTGCCTTTTTTTTCTGGTCTCAAAAACAGCTCTCTTCGGTGCATCCACTCCCATTGTAACACTAACTTACGCTGGCTGCTTCTTATTGGACCACGCGGCGTCATTTTCCTTTGGGCCCAAATTCAATTGGGCTTTCGTCCAAATTAAATGGGCCGACTCCAAAACTACTGCCCCTTAAAAGGGTACTGCCTTCCAATTACTTACTCATTTATATTATTTTATTGTCTTTTAATTTCGAATAATATTTTCTTTTTTTTCATACGCATTCTAATTTATTAAAATATGGTGACAAAATTATATATCACACGCTCTAAACATTATATGTATATATATATATATATATATATAACCTTAATAAAAGAAGAAGAAGAAGAATTGAAATTCAAATAGGAGGGCATAATTGTCAAACTAACACGAGAAGAAGGGTATAATTGGAAAAAATGTTTGATTCAAAGGACAGCAGGCAGCAGCGGCAGTTAGTGTTCTAAAAAGCCGAACCAAATAATGGGCCCTATGGCCCACTTGGGCCCATCAGTTTGACTTGCAACGGCCCATCCAAGAGGGCATTTTTATTTTTAATATACACAAGGCTGCGTTTGGTTGCGCAGTTGAACGGTATACGGACAAAATTAATGGGTGAGGTCCTAACCCCAAACAAACCCGACAGTTGAACTAAAACGCTTCTATATTTATTTAATTATTTATTATTTAATTTATTTAAATTGATTCTCTGTTTTTGTTTTTGTTGTATAGTTGTTAATTTATTTTCAATAATTTTTTGAAATTGTGTATGGTACATAGCCATCAGTGGCAGTGGTTGGCAATTGGGTCTTTTCACCTAATGCTTTTCTATTATTATTTATGCCATTTAATTTTACACCTAAATTTTTATTTCTAAATTCTAAATATAAAAACCAAAATTTGTTTTTTTTTTAATAAATAAAGTAAGAAAATAGAGCTTGAGACCGTTTTTAAAAATTCAATTAAAAAAATATTTAAAATGTAGTGGCAGTGGAAAAAGGTGAAGGGAGAGGGTGCATTGTAGTTTATAAGTTCTTTGGTATACCCTGAGCTGAAAAGATTGAAAGACAGCGCAAACCCCATAATTTCTAAAGCAAAAGCAAAAGCAAAAGAACAGAGAGGAAAAGTAACGAAACCCAGAAAGAAAGGGAGAAGAAGAAGAAGAAGAAAAGGGTTTTGTGGGTAAGGGAATGCAAATTGAATAGAGTGAGGAACAGAGGAAGAGCAGCCATAAATGGTGCAGAACAGCACAGGAAGCTTAAGCTTCAGCAGCCATTTGTGTAAGGAAGATGAAGAGATTTCGAGGTCGGCTCTGTCCACTTTCAGAGCCAAAGAAGAGGAGATCGAGCGGAAGAAGATGGAGGTCAGAGAGAAGGTTCAAGCCCAGTTAGGCCGTGTTGAAGAAGAAACCAAACGTCTCGCTTGCATCCGTCAGGTAAAATTTCGGGGTTTTTCCTCCAAAAGTTTCATGGGTTTTTCTTAGATTTTGGTTTATGAGACACCCTTTTAACTTTTGTGCTGTGTTTTACATGAATTTGGTGGGTTGGGTTTGGGGGGAAAATAGGACATAAAATTGTAGAACATCTCTTGAATCTGAGTATCATTTTGGGTAAATCTTCGTCCAAAATGTCTGTGGACAAGGGATTTTTAACCCATTTTGCCTGATTTAGTTCTGTTATCTACGGCGTATGGGATTAAATTAATATGTTGTGAAGGGATTAGAAGCGGCTCAAATCATTGTAAATGTCCATGATTTCCGACGGTTGGTGCTAACCACATAATCAACAATGCTTTGGTGTTGGTGGGTCGTATGAGTCATGCCATTCTTAGATTAGCTTAACTGGACAAGTAATTATAGAACAAGAGTATGTATGTGTGACTGTTCAAACCCACTACTACTAGATATTGTCACTTTGGGCTTTCACTTCTAGCTTCCCTCAAGGTTTTAAAACACATCTACTATGGAGAGGGTCTAGCCTGACTCCCACCAGCGCCTTGCACCGTTCGATGACTAGCTCTAAAATCAATTGTAACCGTCCAAACCCACCACTAGTAAATATTGTCATCTTTGAGTTTTTCGTTCTGGGCTTTCCATCAAGTTTTTAAAACGCGTAGTTTTCCACACCCTTATAAGGAATATTTCATTCTACTATGAAACAAAATATGGCAATGGCTTGGAATTGGTTTTTTTTTTTGTGCTCTTGTTGTTTAGTTTCATGAAACGAAGTGTTGCAAACACCAGGAGCTCGAGGCGCTGACCGATCCAATGAGGAAGGAAGTGGCACAGTTTCGTAAGAAGGTTGACGCCGTGAACAAGGAATTGAAGCCTCTGGGACATATCTGTCAAAAGAAGGTAAGGCATGGGGGAAGGATTAGCGCATTGCTTAGCATATAAGATGATATTGCATTCTGTGAATCTCAATGATTGAGCTGATGTTTGCATCCTTTGTCATAGGAAAAGGAGTACAGGGAAGCCCTCGAAGCCTTCAACGAAAAGAACAAGGAAAAAGTTCAGCTAATCACCAAACTAATGGAGGTAAATTCCCCTGAATTCCTTTAGTTTTCCACGATTTCAACGCATCAGTTCGTTCTGCCACTGTACGAGGCGACTCGAATGGCCTCCATTAGTTAAAAACTGTGTTTCCTTTCGTGTATATTCGTCTGAGTTTCAGTTGATGGATTGATTTGGTTTTTTGACGAGCAGCTGGTGAGCGAAAGCGAGAGGTTGAGGCTCAAGAAGCTGGAGGAGCTGAGTAAGAACATCGATACGATTCGATAACCATATCGTTTTGACAAACTGATAACCCTGTGTTTATTAGGCTTTGGCGTGTGATGTATTTAATCTAAAGAACAAAAAGGAGCTGTGTTTGTGTATTAGTTGAAATGTTGGCGTTCCCTTTGTTTGTGTGTATTTTCATAATTTCTCTGTTTATTTATTTTTCGTTTTCAGAAGTTAACTCAAAAAACATTTTAACTCATTTTAGGAAGGGAAATGACTTATCTATCCTTTTGTTTTTGTCTTTGTTTTTTTGTTTTTTGTTTTTTTCTCTCCTCTAATGGGGAATATAGATCCATCTAACGGCTATTTCAAGCTGCTTCATTTAATAATTAATAACAAATTGCATAATTTAATATTTATATTTTAAATATTAAATTATCCCAAACTTGAGAGAGATTGTCGTACTTGGTTGGGCCCATAGTGGAACCCATTAGTCTTTTTGGCCCATATAAGTCGGCCCGGCCCGTATCCAAACCAACTGACCATATAAGACCTATACGCTACATAAGATTTTTTTTTAAAGAAATTTCTAAATGATTAATTCTCAAATAAATAAATATGTATTTAGAAAAAAATTAATCACTTGTTTTAAATCAATTAAAACTATTGAAGCAATTTTGTCTTAAGAAAAATATGATGTCAATTAAATAATTATTATTTATGAAATTCAAGTAATTATTTTGGATACATCATTAATTTGTAATGATGTGAATTATTCAATCATTTAGTATTTTTAATTATTAAATCAAATATTTAGAGAAAAATTAGCATAAATTTCTAGAACTACTTTAATTTATTTCAAACTATGAGACACCGGCAAGCCTGTTACTATTATTATATTTTAATAAATTAAAAAAGCAATATTATTAGTAGATAAAATATAGTGTTAACGATGTTGATGCGACGTCGTATGATGGCATTTGACTTTGACTACAGTTGCGGGGTCCACGACATGCTCAGACAGACTTCAGACCGTGGCTCAGACTCGGGTGCTATTCGATTGAAGTTGCACACGTGGGAGAACGTCCTCTGTTGGCCCAATTTTTATGCTTACGTGGACGAGTGCACCAAATCGTTGGTGCACTCATAAACTCGCTCACTTTTTATTTTATTATTTTATTTTGTCGTTGGAGGAAAAATGAAATTTTTTTAGGGGTCCCATTTAGATTTTGCTTTTTGGTTACTTATTTTTTAAATTACATTACGCAAGAAATATTTGTGGGCTCGCCTCAACGGCCTTTTCACTCCCCCACCACTTCAATATTAATATTCATGCAAATATATATCCTATTTAATTTTGAAAATATAAATGGGATTAAAATGCATATGTTAGGGAGAGATTTTTCGTTTTACTCTCCAATCGATATGGAATCTCTTCGATGTCTAATTCTGATACTATTTGTAATAGTCCAATCTCAATATCGAATTCGATAGGGAATCTCCCGCATCTATATTTAATATTAATAGTAAGTGAAAATGGAGATCCAAAAGGGAAAGGGTGGGATGGTGGGGGGAGGGGTGTTTTTCCAGAACCAATCAGTCTCTTTTTCCAAAAGGACAGTTTTGTCCACAATCTGCAGTTTAAAAAAAAAAAAAAAAAAAAAAAAAAAAAGTAAATTGAGGGAAGTTTAAATTAAAGGTGCGAGTAGTGGGATTGGATATGGACTGGACAGCCGGGTAGACTGACCACATCACGCTCCCCTCCTTCCTTCACCCTTCTACTCTCTCAATTCTTTCATTAATTAAACCCTACCCTATCATAATTAGAAGTATTCCTACTACTTCTACTCTATCATATCATAGCATACACGTCTGTACTCATGATTAAGCGGAAGTATTCCGACCCATGAAACACACCAACACAACAGTATTTGCTGTTAGTTGATGTCCTTCTCACAGTTTAGTTTGTTTTGGTCGGTTGTATTTCTGTCAACTTCCGAATTCATCTTTCATAGCTTCCATACCGACTTTATTTGTTCAACTTGGGATTACTGAAATCCAAGCCCTCAACAAAAGACATGTCTTCGGATACCCCATTTTAGCTTTCGTCTTCTCTCTGAATATTCACTTCCCTTTTGCAGGCTCAAAAGAGATATCCATGGCACAAAAGCACTTACACGAGCTTCTGAAGGAGGATCAACATCCCTTTCTCCTCGCCAATTTCATCGCCGACAGACGCTCTCTTCTCAAACTTCCTACCCCCAAATCTCTTTTCCAGCTCAACCGCTCAAAACCCATTTCCGATTCCTCTGATTTTCGCCGGAATTTTTGCCGAAGCGCTTGTTTTTTCTCTTTCACTCACTCCCCTGATCTCATAACCTCTTCGCCGCTCTTTGAATTTCACTCTCCGGTCAAAACTCCTTGTCCAAACCACAATGGCACTTTCCTTCATGTTCCGGCTACAACGGCCGGTCTTCTTCTGGAAGCTGCTTTGAGAATTCAGAAACAGTCAACGGCCGCGAACTCCAAGTCCCTTGGCAAATCGAATGGCTTAGGGTTTTTGGGTTCTTTTCTTAAGCGTTTGACTCACCGTGGCCGTATTCGGAAGCGAGAGATCTGCAGCGACGGCCGGAAAAACGGTTACCGTGGCAGCCCGCCATTGCCGGCGAACGAGAACGACTCTGTTTCCCGGCAGAGTAATTTATGCAATAGCCCTTTTCGATTTGTGCTTCAATCGAGCCCCTCCTCCGGTCACCGGACGCCGGAGTTCTCTTCGCCGACGTCTTCTCCGGCTCGCCGGAACCATCAGGTCTTGCTTATTTCATTACTGTTTTCTTTTCATCTTTCAATGTCATGGCATAAAAATTGCATTTTTATGAACCGGCGTTCTCCAGCAAACGACCAACTGTCGGCAGTGTTATGTAAATTCTCTGAAATTACCGCCGGAATGTTGCAGTCTCCGGCGTTAAAACACGTCAACCCCACCAAAAGCACTGAATTTTGGCGAACAAACTGATTTCGTTCATTTTCAATTCCATACACACTTTGGTTTACCAAAACCAACTAAATTAAAGACCCTTTTCACAAGCATTTTTGTTTCTCAGTTTGTGAATTTTTCTTTGCCCTGTGTTTACACAAATTACAGGTCAAAGATGCAGAAAGCTTGAAGAAATTGGCAGTTGAGGATGAGGAGGAAGAGAAAGAACAGAGCAGTCCGGTGTCCGTGTTGGATCCTCCGTTCGAGGAGTACGAGGAAGGACATTATGAGGATGATTACAATTTGGATCGCAGCTACGCCATTGTACAAAGTATGTAAGCATGATTCAACCAAACTGCTAATCTGGATGTAAATTTGGGCCTGTTTTTTATCTGCTCATGTTAATATTTGTCCTGTTTTGTTCAGAGGCGAAGCATCAGTTACTGAAAAAACTTCGAAGATTTGAGAGACTAGCAGAACTAGACGTAGTAGAACTCGAGACCTTTCTACTAAAGGACGAGGACGAGGACGAAGACGAACTTAATGATGACGCTGACATTGCTCATCTCGACGACGACGAAAGCCATGACATCATGGAACACAAAAATGGGAGCTCAAGGTTCCAAATTCCTCCAAAGCGACTCATCTCCAATCTCGTTACGAAGGACGAGAGAGACGTGGTCGTGATCGAGAAGAGAGTGTTGGTGAGATCGGAGTTGTGGAAAGGGGTGGACACGAACGCTATCGACGTGATAATGAAGCAAGATTTGAAGGGAGAGGTTGATGGGTGGAGCAGAAATGGGGAGCAGAGAGGAGAAATAGCCATAGACATAGAGCTTGCTATCTTCAGCTTGCTGGTGGAGGAAATGCAGACTGAGCTACATTTCTTAGCTCATTAACACTGCAATTGAGTGAGTGAGTAAATTAGTTTTAGGAACATAAAATCTGACTTTATGAGCATAGGTTTAACATTTGTTTAGTAGAAAGATTAGGATGAAAGGGAGAACACTATGCTTTGTAAATTTGTTATCCCTCCATATATTATCACGGTGAGTTCTGATTCGTGGATCGCTAATTGTCTGACCTCTTTCACCAAAGTTGTAACAGTCCAATCCCACCGCCATTAAGAAGTTTCCAGCCTATTATAAAAAATGTTTCATTCATCTCTTCAACCAAACCTGAAATCTCACAATCCACTCCCTTTGAGTCCAACATCTTCGTTGGCATTCATTTCTCTCTCCGATTGAGGGGAAGGACACCAGACAATGTGTCAAGAAGGATGTTGGACCTTGAAGAGGTGAATTATGAGATCTCACATAGATTGAAAAGAGGAATGAGTGGTACTGAGAATGCTAGGTCTAGAAGGGGGTAGAATGTGAGATACCATATCAGTTGGAGGGAAACAAAAAAATAATGATAAATTTGTATATTTATGAATTTTGAAATAAATATTTATCGTATGAGCAATGTAAAAGGTATTCGCAGAAATAACGATATGCCTAGACTATACGTTCTGACCACTGTTAGCATCCCCATTTGGGCCACCGGTTCACGCTCTACCAAACTTTTTTTATCCCCCACCCCTAAATTTTATTTCTCTAATAATCAATATAAAAAAAATCATAAATTTAACATTTTGATTAATTTTTTGTGTCCCTAATCCTACATCTTTGAAAATTATAATTTCAGCCCTACTTTTTTTTTCAATTTATCCGTATTTTTTTAATAATCTTTATTCTAAATTATTGAAAACAGATATATTTTGGTCTTCAATGTGTACACATCTTTTTAACTACATCCCATGTGTTTTAAAAGCTTATATTTTATACTTAAAAATTGCATTCGATTGTAACAACTTTGAAGCCCAAGATCGAAAAAATTATATTAAATTATACAATATATATATATATATATATATATATATATATATATATATATATATATATATATATATCTTTAAACTTTGTCGTAAATTTTAATTATTCATCTTAATTTTAAAAAGTTCGGTTAAAAAATAAGAATGATAATTTAAATTTTTTAATTTTATACCACATCATTTTTCATCTTTTATTTTAACAAAAAAAAATTAAGAATAAAAGTGAAATTGTTTAAATTTGAAGGAATGATTGAAAACACGACATAACCTTTTATTGGAAGGAAAGAAAGGGAGTAGAATATGGAAGTTAATTTCAGCACGTGACTTTTCTGGCTGCACGTGGAATATAAAAATGTGGCCCAACAATTTGACCACGTGTTTCACATTACACTTTTTTTTTTTTTTTTCCTTGGAAAATAAAATTAATAAAATATTCTCTAAATAGT